CCCTTTAGCACGGACTCTCGTCCTAAACCTAGCCCTGTAGACTTCGGACTGATTTTGGGTTCCATACCTGGGCTACCAGTGCTCTATAGTTGTGTCTGTCGTCTGCTGACAACTGTCCAAGTATTTCCAGTGGTTGTCCCTTCAAGCTCGTTGCCAGAAATACTGCTTTCTGCTTCTCTGTCCATCCATTAATTTCTGCAAGGAACTCCAATTGTGCTCTATATGCTTCCCATGGTGTCTTCCTATCGATTTCCTGTGGCTTCCTTCATACTAGATCACCCTTATTGCTGACACTCGTGCCTAGAATGTGACTTGTGACAGGACTGAAGATGTCTGCATTAGGGTTTAGCTGCGGGGTCTAGAAGGGGCTTTCTGTTGTCTGGGGATGATTAGGCCCATGGCTGATATATCCTCCCTGTGTAAAAGCCAGTAAATCGTCCTTTAATGTATTTAATTCACTTTGAAATTTACTAATCTTTTCCATTTGTGTATGCTAGCTTTCTCTCAACTGTTGGAAACTTTCTTCTTGTTTATTTTCTTTCTCCTCCAACCACTGCTGTAGTCCCTCTTCTTGTTTCCTTTTTCTTTCAACAACTGCTGTAATCTCTCTTCTTGTTTATTTTCTCGTTCTTCTTATTTATTTTCTTTTTACTCCAACAACTGCTGTTATCTCTCTTGTTTCTTTTGCTGTTCGAGCTGCCACTGTTGCTGGTTTTCTTGTCACTGCTGTTGTCTCTCTTCTTGTTTATTTTCTTTTTCCTCCAACAACTGATGTAATATCTCTTCTTGTTTATTTTCTCGTTCTTCTTATTTATTTTCTTTTTACTCCAACAACTGCTGTTATCTCTCTTGTTTCTTTTGCTGTTCGAGCTGCCACTGTTGCTGGTTTTCTTGTCACTGCTGTTGTCTCTCTTCTTGTTTCTTTTCTTTTTCCTCCAACAACTGCTGTAACATCTTTTCTTGTTTCTTTTCTTTTTCATCCAACAACTGCTATAATCTCTCTTCTTGTTTATTTTGCTGTTCGAGCTGCCACTGCTGTTGTCTCTCTTCTTGTTTCTTTTAGTTTTCCTCCAACAACTGCTGTAATCTCTCTTCTTGTTTTTTTTGCTGTTCGAGCTGCCACTGCTGCTGGTTTTCTTGTCACTGCTGTTGTCTCTCTTCTTTTTCCTCCAACAACTGCTGTAATCTCTCTTCTTGTTTCTTTTGCTGTTCTTGTACTGCTGCCATCAAATCTGCTAAGCTGTAGTTTGATTTGCCACTTCTCGTTTCCATCTTCTGACACCAATTTGTTACGTATCCGTTCGTTTGTTAATTTCTGGTATAGATTCTTTCCGAGGAACTTCAGCGATACCAGTCCTTTCTTAATTAAAACTAGTTTATTCTTTCTCGATACAACTTTGTAATACACAGAATTTCCACAGTCACTTTAAACTTAACAACCTTTATAACACACACTATAAATCACAGTGGTTCACAAACTTTACTTACTGTGCCTACTGTTCGCTTGACTCAGTTATCTATATCTTCAATCTATCTCTATTGCTGGATTTATTTGCCGGACTTATATACTAAAAAGGAGGGCGCCTGGCAAACACTCGGACATTGGCGAGGTTCCTTGATAAGTCATGATCCTTCTAGAAACTCCAGCGCGCATGCTCCTAGTGTCGCGTGACTTTCGCTATCGTAACAATATCAAGAAAGTTACCAGACTAGAAAGAAGATTTTATATTGT